CCGAAGCTCAGACTCTGGCACAGGATCGGGAACGTTGGAAGCTCTGTCTGACGTGTCTGTCTCCGCGACCGGAAAGGAGAAGCGGCGATGGAAGATGACGATGAAGATGAAGATATTGTTTTAAATGTTTATGAGGTCACAATTTACAGGAAACATTTGTCTGTTATGCGCACTCAGACCATCCTCATCGTTACTTTCGTGTTCGCACCATTAATGACGTAATTTAGTCGTTTTCGTGTAATGCCATTTGAGCCAAAGAAAAATGCTCCCAGTCAACAACGATTTGCAGCGGCAACGAAGTTTATCCTGAAGGACGTGCGTGAAACGATAGGTTAATCATCAGCCGATACTTTATTAACCGGTTGATTGTTTGTCGTTAAGTTATGAAATCACCAGACGTTTTATGTAATATGTGAATATTATTTAAGTAAATCACAATGCGGTTGCTCGGTCAGTAGAGCGTTGGAGTCAGAATCCAGAGATCCCGGATTTCAGTCCCAATCGGGTAACTCGCCTTGCTTTCCTTCCAGATTAATAAACGAGTACCACTATAATAAATGAGTGAAAAGAAAACAGGAGTTTGTAGGTTATGCTTGTCACGTAGTCACTGAAGATTCTGCTGATGGCATAGAAATAGAGATCAGCGCTCCACTATGTTCTTCATAAAACGAAGGGCGAATGAAACTGGTCCATCGTGAAAGTGCGAGGAAGACCGACCTTTCAATGGACACAGATTTCAACTCTTTGCCAATCTGCTTAGTAAATCATGATTTCCTCCCTTGTGATAGGTACAGTATCAGGCAGCAATGGATGTCCATACCAGTAGTAGCATTTTTTGTTCTGTGTAACAGGGGAGCTCAGCTGAATCTCTTCTAGTCATTGCTATGACAGATTCTTCGTGTTAGATTTTAAAACGCATTTTTTGAAAGTGTTTGATTCTAACCATATAATTCATCAACGCGCTTTCATGTGGATGCACGGTTAAGAACCCCAAACGTAAGGCAAAGATGAAGAGGCTTTACAGTCGTCATTGAGTCGTGAAGATTTTACCGGTGCCGGTTCGGCTGTCAGTGAAAGTTTCTCGCCTTTGTTTTACACTTTAGTTTCCTGACCATACATCAAGAAAACCTGATGTAGGTTTATTCTTAGCTTGTAACCGATTTTCACGGTTGTCCTTATATTTGTTAACTTATTTTCTTGTCCTGTAACTTCGTACTTCGAAATTCCTATTTGAATGAAGAAATATATGTCCTATGTTTCTATTCAACTAGCAGAAATCTAATTTACTTATATACTAGGGACACTAGACTTTCATTTCCAAGATTTCGAATACGTACGCATTGTAAAACATTTCTGAATCTTTGTGTTAAACTACTTAGCAACAGTAGTACTTCATTTATGTACCTGGTAACTACGGGGGGTGAATGACTCCTCCTTCCGGTTGTCTTCAAAGCCGTCCGGGTCCAAGTTCAACGTCATCGTTGATCGCCCAGAGTCTGAACGCCAGCAACTTTAAACGGCAGAACCCAACAGTCGAACGATGAACAAAGGCCGGTTAACTAGACGAAATCAGAATTAGCTTTGCTTCACATTCGCGATGAAGCTCAAGCGGAGCAGAGCCAAAAAAATAGAAACGAGAAAATAAATCAATCAGAAACAACAAGAAATCAGCGTCTGAAAAAATCTGGCAACGTAACTCAGAATCAGTATAAAATGATGTACAAACATATATATGATATATATTAAAAACTTTATTCTAGACAATTTCCACTGCATAATAACATATCCAATCCACATTTGCACAACCACACAGAATTAAATGTACAGTAAATACCTTCTGATCACATTACTATATAAAAACAGGTGTGTATTCGAATGTAGATTCGTTGGTTCGGCAGTCATATTGCAATGCAAAAAATAAACGGTCTACTAAAGCTGAAAAATCAAGCTGTTGGTCAGTCTGGTGGCACAAAGCTACAAAGTTTTTAGCCGCTTTACTTGTGGCTACTTT